TATATATATATAATCTAGCTTAGTCAGTCAGTAGCTCAAGCTGAAACTTTCACAAGACTGAATGAGTCAAAGAAGTGACCTTTCCCCTTCCTCTTACTGCCTGGGAGACAGCTGTCGCTTTGCTGTTCCTTAAAGTGGAAATAAACTGTCACCTGTAGGGGAAGGTCTTGCCATATGTTCAAGTATGCACATCATGCTGGCACATTATGGCACACTAACCTCTGTGTTTGCTCTTCTCTTGGGCTGAGAGTTCAGTGCTATCCCTTGCTGCTCCACCTACTGCCAACATCTTGCACGTCCGGAATCTTCCATTTTTGCCATTGGGAGGCCACTGTTAATGTAACTGCTATGTATACATGTTGGAGTTACATTGTGCAAGCTTAATTTTTTTGCATTTTACAGATGGCTGGAATTGGATAGGAGTGTGCACAACACTGCAACAAAGCCACAGGCAGTGTTCACAGATATTACAATAGCTAAGAGAAAGATGTTTTGGCGGACTAGATTTAATGCAGATTGGCTTCTTTCTAACATTCTGCATTTTTTTTACATTTCTGTACGCTGAGCCACCCATGCATAGCTCAGAGCACAGACCTGGCATGTTGAGATGAAGTAACTCCCATGAACATGTGTGGGAGTTTTATCATTGGGGCTTGGCTTATTTATGGGGCCAAAGACTCAAACTTAGAAAAGAACTGAGCCACAGATGGAAGCACCAGAGAGGGAGGATCATGATGCTGGAGTGGATCAGTTTGTCAGGTAAGTCTGCCATAATGTGGTAATATGACGTGCATGCTAGCACATTATGGTTAGGTCACTTTACTTCTGCTTTATAAAAACTCCTCATTCTCTGTGATGAGTGCAAACGCTATTAAAGGGGTTATTCACAGGAGGGCGAAGAGTTTGGAGAAGACAGGAGAAGTGAACAATCTAGGACAAAATAGCTGATTTGGAGAAATTCTCCAATTCAGCTCACTTTCCGGTTCAGCTATGTTGTCCTAGATTGTTCATTTCTCCTGTCTTCACCAAACTCTTCACCCTTCAGTGAATAACCCTGTTAGTGTTTATATTTACAGTACAACAGTTATATTAATAGTATAAAAAAATTGCAGTTTGCAGCCAGCACTCCAGCTGTGGTGACACAACAGATCCCATCATGCATCTGCCTCTGGAAGTCATGCCTGTGGCATTCAGAGTCTTGCGATCCCTAATGGGATATATAGTTGCACCGCGGCTGGAGGGCAGGAGTTTGCCTATCCCTGCTTTAGGGGCCAATCAGAAAAACTGAAAGCGCTACTGGAAACATGAAAAGATACTGCCAGCAAAATGTACCTGAAATAGTCTGTAAATGTATTTTTATGCCTTTAAACAAGTTTCCAAAAAACAAAATAACACTCATTAAATATATTTGCTCCCCAGATTATAAAAATAACATCTTGAAGGAGCGCGCAGCCATGGACAGGCCCTTCACACCAAAGAACATTGACTTAGACCTCGGTGAGTAAAACGCAGGCTCTCTTATACTGACCACTAATTGGTAGCTTTGGCTGAGACTGATTCTTATAACAGGCAATAGTCATCAACATCAGCGAGAGAGACCCAGAGCTGAAAACATTTCAAAGTAAACACTCTGCACACAGAAAGGAGATGTGATCGTTAGTTGAGTCGTTAAGAAAACCTCAGTCTTTGGGGAGTGGCTTGGAAAAGGGGAGGAAGTGAAATGATCCTCATTGGGTTGGGTATGGAATTCTACAGCTTAGAAACAAAACTTTTAAATCAAGTATATCTGTAAAAAATAAATCAAGGCAACTGGACTTGCTGTATTTTTCTTGAAGACGTTTCGCTGGTCATACGACCAGCTTTCTCAATTCAGAATGACTCAAAAAGTATCTGGGAATAAATATGGTGAATGTTTCTCCAATCAACATAATCTGTTAAACATAACCTGCATGGGGTCAGAGAACTCATGGAGCTAAGGTGTTGATTGCATTTGTGCAATTGGGGTCTAGGAGGTGTTAAAGCAGCATTGTATGTGGCAAACAATAGATGTCTCACCCCCCCCCCCCCCCCACCTCTCCAATTTGACATAAATGGACTATTTCACACCTCTTTGGAAGCAGCCCTCCTCCCTGTCTAGGATGTGAGGAAGCTTTGGAAACTTGACCGTCTTCAAAGGAGCGTTCTTTTTCGTTGAAGACAGTCAAGAGGTGTAAAAGAGGCAGTGGTGTCACATGGGGGGTGCCACCATTGGAGGAGTGACACCAAAATGACTGATATTCATCTTGGTGTCACCCCCTCTAAAAAGCCGGGCACATACCTCATCCCGCCAGGTGAACATCCCCTCCTCTCTCAGGCGTCAATAAGACGACCGCGCATGCGTGATGACATCATCGGGCACGCGCGCGGCAACGTCACGCGCATGCGTGATGACGTCACGGCGGGGTGTCACCCGGTCTCTGCTCCGGGTGACACCCAGCCTCGGGACGCCCCTGAAAGAGGTCATGTATGTTAAAATGGAGAAGCCAAGCTTGAATAGAGTCAGGGGGAAGCGAGGCTGGGACATCTTTTGTCTGCCACATACAATGCTTCTTTAACACTCTCTGGGCATCTTAATAACACCTGCTAGCTCCAATCATGCAAATGCAATCAGCACCTTACCATGCCTGTTATGATAAACAGATTGTGTTGATTGGAACCACATTCACCATATTTATTCCCAGATAATTTTTGTTTAAGAATTGTTTAATTTACTGTATCTTACAGTAACAGCCATAGGAAGGATTTTTTACAGTAACAGAAGCAGCTGTAACCTTACGCTTTTTGTTTTCCTTACAGAGCTACGCAAGGAGTACTGTAAATAGGACTGAATTCTTGCTGCTGGCTGGCCCAGAAGCTGTAACTTCTACTAAGGAAAGAACCTCAGGGGTTCCGCTGTGTTTTTATTCAAGATGCGTCTCGCGTTCGACTTTGTGTCCTTTCCATGCTGATCTTTTCGCTCTCGGCAGCAGATATATTTTCTGAAAACGATAAACGGTACTTTAAAGACATTTTAGATGCCTCTATGGAATGTATACGGTACATTGTTCTAGATCCTTATTCTGTCTATGCTATCTATCTGCTTTCAAGAGATGGGATTCAAAGATATGGAAAACTTTGCAGGTACCTTGTTACCATGGCGATAGTGTCATAACTGCTTACTGCGATTGCTTTTGGTAGGATTGTTAGGCCTTGAATAGACAGCAGCAACTTACTGCGTACAAAGGAATATATTACTGCCTTCTCTTATGGAAACTGAATAAATGCAATTGCGGTACAAGAAAAATACACAATGAAATCAAATTGTCAAATGTAAAAAAAAAAAAACAGTTGCAGAGTGTAATTGAAACATAGCTTAAAGCAGATCTCTCAAAAGTTAACCCTTACAAGGCGGCTATCCCCGCACTGCAAGGGTTAACTGCTCATTTCGTTCTAGTGAACGGAATAAAGATATACTCACCCGATCCTCGATCCTGCGGTGGCCAGCACTTACCTCTGCTCTGGCTGTGGTGTGTCCAAGCACCTTTGAAATAGATATATCTGTAAAAAAAGTAAATTGAGGCAACTGGACTTGCTGTATTTTTCTTGAAGACAATTCACTGGTCACCCAACCAGCTTTCTCCATTCAGAATGACTTATACAAAAATTATCTGGGAATAAATATGGTGAATGTTGCTCCAATCAACGTAACCTGTTAATCATAACCAGCATGGGGTCAGAAACCTCATGGAGGTAAGGTGTTGATTACATTTGCATTATTGGAGCAAGCATGTGTTATTAACCCGCCCAGAGAGAAACAGCAGAAATAGATCCTCCTCCTTCCCTCCATCCCACATGGATAGTAAAATGATTAATACATTTATTTGGAGAACATCAATGAGATCCTTCACAGACATCAGTAGGCTGGGTAGTCCAAAATTGAATAGAATGGTGTTTAGTCATCAGGAACTCTTTAAAGTATGTTGTAGACGTTATTTATGAAAGTGCTTGAAGGTAAAATTGTATCAAACTGATTTGCTTGTAGCAGCCATTAAGGCCTCATTCACACGGGAAAAAGCCGGCACGTACAGCTCCGTACTGCGTGCATGGCCGTATCGGGCAGCTCCCGGGAAGGACAGGTGCTGCGTGTGATTAGTACGCAGCCCCCGTCCTTCTCTATGGGAGTACGCCGCCCTACGCTTACCCTCCCTGCATGTGTCTGTACTCGTACGCTGACAGGATGGATCCTGTCTGCGTCCGAGCCAGGACACCCGTATGTACCTGCACTTGGGGTGAGCGTAGAGCGGCGTAAGGCGTACTAATCACATGCAGCACCCTTCCTTCCCGGGAGCTGCCCAATACGGCCGTGAACGCAGTACTGAGCTGTACGTGCCGGCTTTTTCTCGTGTGAATGAGGCCTTAGAATCTCCCTTTCCACTGTAAGTGAAGGGATAATCTAATGAACAATGAAATCTATGTTATAGATGGAGGATAAAGTAAGAGTTTTCTGAGTGAAATTATTATATTATAATGGTCCTCTGGTTTCAACACGTTCCGAGTCAATGACCCAGAAAAAGTAATTAGACCAAGATATTTAGGGATGTAATTATAAACAATTTGCAGAATCATTTACCCTGTAAATCTCTGACAATGTTCCTTCTGTGTGAATGGAGGGGAAAACTAATGTTCTTTTGTATATTTTCTTTTCAGGTTGAATGTAATGTAATACTGCCTGATGTCCATTAGATAGATCTGAGGAGCATATGCAGTAAGTATTTATTTCTTATGCTCCTCAGCTCCATCTACTGGCCATAATGTGGTATTACATTACATTCAGCCTGAAAAGAAAATATACAATATAGAATGTTTGTTTTTTGCCTCTTTTTGCACAGAATGAAACGTTCTTAGCAGTGTCATAAGCATGGTTGTGGCAGATATTAAGGAAACTTAACAGCTAGAGGCAATTTCTTTAAAAAAAAAACACTAACAGGGTTATTCACAAAAGGGTGAAGAGTTTGGAGAAGGCAGGAGAAGGGAACAATCTAGAACAACATAGCTGAACTGGAAAAATCCTCCAATTCAGCTCACTTTCCAGCTCAGCTATGTTGTCCTAGATTGTTCACTTCTCCAAACTATTCACCCCTTTGTGAAGAGACCTGTAAGAGTTATGCAGGCCATACACTCATAGATAAGATCTAACAGATTCCTCTATCCATGCTAAACAATGTGGAAGTCCGAATTTCCCGCTACGGCTATTGTATTCTGACAGCCACTGCCTATAACCAAAATCACTTGGGTGGATTGACCCTAGGTGGACTAGTTACTGTACACCCCCCCCTCCCCCCTCCTCACACACACATGAACAGTGACTGCAGCTGATTGGCCGAAAATTGTCAACCCTACCAGCTAAACAAAACATGTGATCACTTAATAACTTAATTCCTATGAGTTTGCCAAAATTTGAACAGTGTCTGTCCGGCCTAAAGTTAAAAGTCCTTAGCTGCACACTTCCTCTGGGACAGTGACTCAAAGTGCTGAAGCCAGAGGATTGGCATGATAGCCAGGCAATGGCATTTTTAAAATAAAAGGTCAGCATTTGTATTTCTTTGCTTCTCTAAGGAGAGGAAACTTTCAATCTGACCCCTTCTCTATATTCAATGCTCCTACAAGGGACCAAAATAGTTTGACCTCCAAGGCATTGGTGTTTTGCCGTAGTGTTAGTGGATGTAAAGAGAGTATTGGTTTACTGGGTAGGTTTGGGGTATAGCAGAGCTCACATTCAGATTATTAGATGCAGGATGAAACCAGAAGACAGGAATACGTATGTGTGACGACGGAACAAGCTAACAGACTTCTCTATAAGTACTTTGTTATAGGCCAGTGGAGAGAGCAGTGAGTGACATATCTCGCTCATATTTTACACTTGATTATATTCTATATTGATTACATTGATTTTGCTGGTTCAATATTAACTTTTTTTTTTATAACTGTTTAATGATGTCATCATTTACATCGCAGACAGTGGAAAGCAACCCGAGGTTGTATTGTAATGTGTCTGACATTGTGCAAAGCACTACAGTATGATCATGTGCTTGATGTGACAATAAATTGTAATAAACATGATTTTTATAACGTTGAATTTGCTATTTAATGTACAAAACTGAACAGAGACCTTTATGTTGTTACAATGCAAGAATGACGCTTCTTCTGATAGATAATATCACAGGTCGGTCTCATCCTAGATGGGACTCATCAGTGTAGTATGTGATCTTCAAACTTGTTTTAATTGCAACTGGAGTCAAAACTGTATTCCATACCTGGAGCTCTGCATTGTGGGTGACACCTGTACTCCACACCTAAAACTCTACATTGTAGGTATCACCTGTACCCCATACCTGGAGCACTACATTGTGGGTGTCACCTGTACTCCATACCTGGAGCACTACATTGTGGGTGTCACCTGTACTCCACAACTAAAACTCTACATTGTGGGTGTCACCTGTACTCCATACCTGGAGCTCTGCATTGTGGGTGTTACCTGTACTCCACAACTAAAACTCTACATTGTGGGTGTCACCTGTACTCCATACCTGGAGCTCTGCATTGTGGGTGTCACCTGTACTCCATACCTGGAGCTCTGCATTGTGGGTGTCACCTGTACTCCATACCTAAAACTCTACATTGTGGGTGTCACCTTTACTCCATACCTAAAACTCTACATTGTGGGTGTCACCTGTACTACATACCTGGAGCTCTGCATTGTGGGTGTCACCTGTACTTCATACCTGGAGCACTACATTGTGTGTGTCACCTGTACTCCATACCTGGAGCGCTACATTGTGGGTGTCACCTGTACTCCATACCTGGAGCTCTGCATTGTGGGTGTCACCTGTACTCCATACCTGGAGCTCTTCATTGTGGGTGACACCTGTACTTCATACCTGGAGCACTACATTGTGGGTGTCACCTGTACTTCATACCTGGAGCTCTGCATTGTGGGTGACACCTGTACTCCACAACTAAAACTCTACATTGTGGGTGTCACCTGTACTCCATACCTGGAGCACTACATTGTGGGTGTCACCTGTACTACATACCTGGAGCTCTTCGTTGTGGGTGTCACCTGTACTCCACACCTGGAGCTCTGCATTTGGGTGTCACCTGTACTACATACCTGGAGCGCTACATTGTGTATGTCACCTGTACTACATACCTGGAGCTCTGCATTGTGGTTGTCACCTGTACTCCATACCTGGAGCCTTGCATTGTGTGTGTCACCTGTACTCCATACCTGGAGCTCTACATTGTGGTGTCACCTGTACTCCATACCTGGAGCTTTACATTGTAGGTGTCGCCTGTACTCCATACCTGGAGCTCTGCATTGTGGGTGTCACCTGTACTCCATACCTGGAGCTCTGCATTGTGGGTGTCACATGTACTCCATACCTGGAGCACTACATTGTGGGTGTTGCCTGTACTCCATACCTAGAGCTCTACATTGTAGGTGTCGCCTGTACTCCATACCTGGAGCTCTACATTGTGGGTGTCACCTGTACTCCATACCTGGAGCTCTGCATTGTGGTTGTCACCTGTACGCCATACCTAGAGCTCTTCATTGTGGGATTTCACAATAGCTATACCTAGCTATATTGGTGGGATTTCTGGTCTTTTCTAGAGCTCCCTGGGCTGGCCATAGGACAGCACTGATGCACCAAATATCCCATCTGCCCCCCAAAGCAAAAATCCCCCCAGAGCCTCCCTAAAGCAAAAAAAACCCTCCCACAAAGCACACATTTTTTCCTTCCCCTAAAGCAAAAGTCCTGTGACCAGATGACTAGTTAAAGGATCATGTGACTGGTGTACCATGGTAGCCCAAAGTAGTATTTTCTGCAGCACAAGTAAGTGTTATACAAGGTGCTTTTATTCTCTTTTACCATAACAGGTAGGCAAGGGGGAAAGGGAGGAGGGGGGGGTCAATACATCAACAAATATAATTGTTGAAGCTATTC